GATTCACTTTCAAGATGCCTTGGTGGTGAAATGGTAGACACGCGAGACTCAAAATCTCGTGCTAAAGAGCGTGGAGGTTCGAGTCCTCTTCAAGGCATAATATTGAGATCTCTTATTGAATTGGAATAAGTTCGGTAGCGGATCACGAAATCTTGCTTCTCTATCTAATGAATGGGGAGTCCGTTTTGAAATTGTCTGCCCTACACCCACCCCCTATATGCTTCAACAGGAATCACATAGGGGTAGATTGATACAATAGAAACCTCTGGTAAAATGCCCACCAGTAACCCAGCAAATAAAGTACATTATATAGTCCGTTTTAGGGATTAGCGACTTACCCATTCAATAACTTTAGCACCGGACGTTCCCAAAATGGGTACTGTACTCTTGGGTCGGGTGAATTCAATAATAGACTCCTATTGGCATTCCGGCCTTCCTTCTCCTTTCAAGGCCTATCCTAAAGAGTCATGGGTTTGAATCTAAAAAATGTGCATTTGGGAGGGATGGGTCTTTTTTTTTTGTCATTTTTAGCAGTAATAAAATGTCACCGTTGAAACTTTTAACGGTGATGTATGTTTAGGGTTACCGTCGAAGGCACCCTCTAGCGACGACAAATGATGACTTATTTCGTTGCCGCCAATTAATAAAACGGCAGTGGCAGTAATTTTTGAAGACTTTTTAACTTCCAACGCCATCGAAAGTCAACCTTTTTTGTGGTGTCCCTCATGTTCTCTCTCTTTTTGCTTTCTCTACTGAAGAAAATTAAAGAAGACGGTGCGATAAGGGAGCTTTATATGAGTAGTACAATCTAATAATTTTATAATTTCATTAATTCTCCACCACACATTTTTCTTTTTGACTTTGTATCAAGAAATTTTCAACAATTTCCCCTCTAATTTTAATGTCCAAGTCTAACCATGCCATTCGGCTTTCTTTTTGGGCTTGGGCTTGATTTGTTTCAATTATATGTTATAATTAATTCCTATCAATGGTCATAATTTGTTCCTTACAAACTTTTCATCTTCCTTCCTAACTCAAACTTTTCTTCCTTTGCATTTAAGTGCCTATTCTCTTCCACTAAAGCTCTTGAGACTTTCCCAGAATATCTAAAAATATTTAAACTTCAATTTTATAAAAAAAAATTTAATTTGTAATTTAGTCCGTGAAAACCATTCAATTATCTGTTCAGACAGTTGTTTGATTTCTACTCAATTTGGTTTAGTAACCTACTTATGCTAGACTTATTGCTGTCTTTGAGCTTCTACACCCAAAATTTGAAATATGACACACGTTTTAAATCATATCTAATGTGACTTATAAGTGGAATGATCACTTGTCAAGCTTATTATTATCTTTGATTTAAAGTGTCAGTGCATATGAACTTTTAGTTTCAATGTACAAGATACAAAAAGAAAACTCTCAAGCTAACTACTCAGTTAATAAGTAGGTGCCACCACCAGGTGATATCCAGGCGCTACGTTCAGCCGAATATGTCTCAAAAAGGGTCAGGAGAAATTTTAACATATGTGCGAAGGAAGGAAAGAAGAAGGAAAGAAGAAGGGAGAAATTTTAATATTAACAACTTTTTCATTTCTTTATTTTTATATAGTAAATATTTTTATATCCTTTTTAATATGCTTATTAATTTTCAGTCCAAAAAAAATGCTTATTAATTTTATTAATTAGTCAGAATCTCAAAAACATGTTTATCAAGATTTTGCTGTATTATTTGATTGAAAATAAACCACTAAAGCGATACATTATTAGTTTAAAAATACAGCAAAATTAATTTTTCAGACGACTTTGACGAATTCCAGCAATTGCTCATTTCACTAATAAGTCATATTTGCATGCTTTAAAAATATTTGTCGTCTGAAATTATGACTACAGATCAAGGAAACAGATTTATTATTTAGACTTATTATTAATTCCGGTAATGTATTATTAAAGTATTTGTGTATTAAGTAACTATGTCTTCTTCTTTTTTTAAAATAACCCTTTGGGCCACTCAGTATCCGACTGTTTTTTTTTTAATATCATGTTACCATGTATCCGAACAACCAACTAATTCGAATCAAGACTTGTTAAGTCGGACAACCTCTTATCAATTTGACCAAGTGCTTATTGGAGTATTAATTATTTATTTCTAAACAAGCATATATGCTACACTTACTTCTATTTTTAACGAATAGAATATAAAAATAAATGATACATAAATAAATAATGTATCATCAAAATTTTAAATTAACTATTAACTGAAAAATAATCCATGAAATGTGAAAACGAACCATTGCAAGTTTGAAAATACAACAAATCTGGGAGACAATCTTGACGAAGTCCAGGTCGACCGCGCGGCAATAGCTCTCAGCATCAAAATTTTAATTTAAAAATGGTACTGAAGGAAAATTTTTGGTTTACCTGTCTTTTGCCGCCGAACTTATACCCTATCCCATAACCGACCGCAGGCAATTTACGAATGGGATTAATCAAGTAATCAAATTTGGTCTTCTTTTTACGTTATGCCATTTTTTCCCCATGAAATGAGGGAAAGATGAGGACATAAAGTCATGGTGGAGTCAAAAAGCGAGAGAAATTAAGAGTCGTGGACCAACAATGTCCACACAGGCCCATCTTTTTCCACAAATAACTTATATTTATAACTAAATTATACTTTTAGTCATTTAATTTTAGATAAAATTTTAGTCTGGTATCTTAATTTTCAAAGTATTACTTCATGTTTTAATTATAAGACCTCATTTGTAGACTACAAATGTGGTTTTACAATTAAAACCGAAGGTAATATATTCTTAGCCATTTAATCTTAAAATTATTAGTCTTAAACCATGATTTTTTGTGATAATATGATTGTTTAGAAAATTTAAACTCGACATGTTAGCATCTAAGGATGTTTTATAAACATTGATAATGATTTTAGGACTAAAAGACCACAGAATCAAAATAAAATTTTGCATAATACTAAAAGATCAAAAGTATATTTTAGCCTATCTTTATATATCAAAGAAAGCATTAAGTTGACAAAGGTTTTAAAATTTATCTTTATTAGAGTTTTTTTCTCTTTCTGCATTTACAAATAATTTTCACATCTCTCTCTTTGTCCTCTCTTCACAATAAGCCTTAAACACTGATTTTTGTAACAATATGATTGTTTAGAAAATTAAATTAAACTCGATATGTTAGCTTCTAAGAATGTTTTATCAACATTGTTAACGGTTTTAGGATTAAAGGACCACAGACATAATTTTAAAAGTTACAGAATCAAAATGAAACCTTGCATAATATTAAAAGATTAAAAGTATATTTTAGCCCATCTTTATATATCAAAGAAAGGATTGAAGTTGACAAAGTTTTTAAAATTTATTTTTATTAAATTTTTTTTCTCTTTCTGCATTTACAAATAATTTTCACATCTCTCTCTCATTTTCCTCTGTTCACAATAAGAATTAAATAAATGATAGGATTGTAAAATGACCATTAATATCTAGGACAAAATTTTTTTACTATAAGTGATTTATAATAAGCACGGAGTGGTATCAGCACCAAAAATTGAACAAAAAGTAAAATTAAATAAGTACTATATCTGATCTTTAACATAAAAAATAAAAAACTAATCGATGAATATTTAAAAAATTAGTTAAAATAGTTATTTATAATAAATAGATATTATTTTATATAACTTAAAATATTTTTGTTAGTCATGTGTATTGAAACTACCACTTTGTGAAAATTTCTTAACATTTGTAATATATAGGAGATTACTTCTTGAGAATAAAATAGATAAATATTTGACACAAAATATATTAAGATTTTATATTTAAGACCAAATGAAATCTCTAACTAACTCTTACAAAATGAATAAAGTTTGTGAAATGATCCCCCGGTTAATAAAAACAACCGATGCAGAAAGTAGAATTTCTAATCCATCCAAACAGATAACCGATAACCGATGTAGAGTGTCTACTTTCTACACCGATTGTGACACTAATTTTTTTTAAAAAAAATGAATTTGACATTACCTTTTTATACGGGCCGCAAGCAGAACCAATTTAGAAAGTTATAAATTTTTTAAACAAATTAAATAATTTAAATTAGTTATATACTCTGGTTGTTAATTTAACTGGTGAAGAAAGTGTTTATTGCCATTGGTCGAGAAATTAAAGTCAACTGTCTTACATATCATTCAGGAAAATTTCACTAATCATACTTTTAACACCTCCCTCCCTGACAATTGGTGTAAAAACCCGTTATAAAAATGCTATTTTGCACCGGTGAATGGCACAAAAATAAGCACTCATTCATTAATGTGTTAAGGTAATATTTGCTTTGAAAATAATCCATGAAAGTGATACACTATTGCGTGTTGAATAGTACCAATATAATTGGTAGCAAGATTGTCAAATTCACAATTTCAAACAAATTCATAATAAGGATGTAAATTTTTCAGATCGATAGTAAACTCATAAGAGTTTATCTTTATAAATAAATAGTTATAAAAAGCATATTATTAAATTGTTAAAATACAAAAAATAGCAGCGATTTAATTTAAATATATTTCATATTCAAATTATTAAATTTTTTTGGAATAAAAATAGTTATATTATAAAGTAGAAAATGAAATGTTCAAAATATAAGGTTTAATATGAGTTTAACTTGGTAGAAACAATAAATTCAGAGAATCAACTCACGAGTTTAGCCAAGTTAATTTATAGTTAGCATGAGTTTAAGAACTAGTTGATTATAATTTTGTAAGATAGAAATATAAAAATGGTAAATTCAGAGAATTAACCACGAGTTTGACAATAATAATTGGTAGACGACTTTGACGAAGTCTCACACTTGTCCTGCCAGTCATAAGTCATGGCGGGATTAAGAAGCATTCATGAACCGACAATGTTCACGCAGGCCCATCCTTTTGCATATAAGCACCAAAAACCAATGATCCCTTCTGGATCTACCTCCTATAATCACTATTCCGCGTCTTCAATTCATTCTTCTGAGCAAACCCACAATTTGCAATGAACTCAACAGTGCCCCCATGGAAGTACCATGTCTTCTTGAGCTTCAGGGGAGAAGACACCCGCAATAGCTTCACAGGTCACTTACATGCTGCTCTTGAACGAAGAGGTATCATAACTTTCATAGATGATGAACTTAGTAAAGGAGAAGATATCTCCCAAGAACTCCTCCAAGCCATTGAAGAATCTCTCGTCTCCATTGTTATTCTTTCCCCAAGCTATGCTTCTTCTCGTTGGTGTTTGGCTGAACTCCAAAAGATTCTTGAATCCAAGCGATCTTTGGGAAGAGAAGTCGTTCCAGTGTTCTTTAACATAGATCCATCTCATGTGAGACATCAAAGAGGTGCCATTGGAGATGCCTTTAAAAGCCACAGGGAGAGATTTGCTGACAAGGTCCAAGGATGGAGAGATGCTTTGCGTGAAGCTGCAAATATATCAGGCTACGACTGCAACCACCGGCAAGTTTTATTTTGTTCCCCAAGTTACTTTTGATCACTTTACTTAATTTTTGCACAAGCTCCTCCATCCATTTAGAGGTAGTCGTAAGACCCAAGCCCGTTAAAATTATGCTCAGTCCGATCCTAAAAAGATAGCCTGAAAAATAATTGGACATTTTCAGGCCAGGCAGGGTATTGAGCAAGTTATGCCACCTACCCATTTGGCCCTACTAGAGTTTACATATATAATTGTATTTAATATATATGCAGTATACATAGTTGGTAGAATTAAATATTTCAAGATTTAAGTTGTTGACATATTCAAGAAACAAAAAACTAGACCAGTCAATAAACTGATTGTGTACTGATTCAAGAGTTAATAGGTCAGATCGGAGTTAGATCAGAGTTAAATCGATAATAATTATGAAATTATGTAAAAAAGATCATGTAATTTAATTAAAATATGTAAAAAAATTCATATTCTAATTATGAAAAAATACAAGTTAATCTTTTTATTTTTTTTCTTTTCTTTTTATTCTCTCCCCTTTTCATAACCCATTAAATTTTACCCTTTGGTTTTATTTTTTTTTAACCTTTTTTCTTGTCAGATTTACATTTTCACTTTTACTTCTTATTCTCTCGCCTTATCTCCTACGTAAACACTCGACATGTTTTACCTTTTCTCCACTCCTTTCTCCTTCCACACTCATCCATCAAATCATGTTATTTGGTTTTTGTTTTCCTCATTTCCCCGTGCATGCTAACTCTTTTATCTCCTTTCTCTCTCCCTCCCTCCCAAAGGCTCCCCTCTTTTCTCTCTTCCTCCTTCCCTTTAATCAGCATCAGGGTCTCTTTCTTCTCCCCTCTCTTTCTCCTTTCCTTCCATGAGCAACATGGGTCTTCCTTTCAATACTGAGATGAAGATATAGCAGTGACAGTCATAGAGTGCGAATGACGACTATGAAGCCATAAATGAAGAGTGAAAAATGACTATGAGCACCAACAAAGTTAGATTGGAAGACTGAGCTTAAAACCGGCAAACAGGCAAATTAATATGGAGTTTCTTTCCTTCTTTCTTCTTTTCATTTTTCCTCCAGATGATTGATCAAACTTGGGTGTTTTTTATAAAAAATAGAGCCATGTTGTTTTTGTCCAATATGAGGGGCAAAATAATTAAACCGGGTAACCCACTCCGACCGGTGGTTACCCAGTTTAACACTAGTTTTGAGCGGGTTAACTGGGTCAACACTGGTTCAAACTTTGACCAGTACACCTGCTAAGCTAGACTAGATACTAAGCCAGTTCATCAGTTTTCTGGTTGAATTAGTTGGTTCGATCTAATTTTTTCTTCCATGGACATATTTGATCATGGCTTTTGTGTGAAGACCTATCAAGTTGTGTTTGATTATGTAATTATAAGGAGCTATGAAATGATAGATAGATATGTAGATTTGTAGTATAGTGTTTATATTTATTCTCTTGAAATATTTGAACTTCTGGAATTGTAAATGTATTTATAATCCAAAATATTATTTATTAAGTCTAACCATGAAGATCTTCACATAATATGAAAGAGGTATTAGTATTTGGGCAAGGATCCATCTTACTCAGCCTAGCACAGCCTTGCCTGCAATTACTTGGGCTTTCAATGGGTAGGGTTGAGTATTGGGCTGCATAATGTAGCTCGTTCATCTTTCAGGCAAGGGTCTCGCCCCACCCTATGTGCAACCCTACATTCATCCTTTATCTTACCCAATATTTCTTTTATTTTTCAACTTATTTCTGATTAGTTTCCCCTTCTTGCTAGGCCAAATTGTACTTTCGAAAATATAACTTTGAAAAAAATATTACGAAGCATTTTTGATATCTTGTTGGATAAAATAGTTTATATACGGAGCACTTTTAAAATATGTTTTACGAATTAACCATCATAAATTTAAATATTTTGAAGGATAATGTTTTTCCGATCAGAATATTTCGAACTATCATTTTATCAATTATTATGATGTTTTATTGTGACAATTTTTTTTCTTTAATATATCCTTACAAAGCATTAATTACATAAATATTGAGCATATACAAAATTAGGCCATCATTATTCCATGTGGTGATGATAATATGAAAAGCAATACAGGCAACATTTCTCATATAGTTTTGCATATATTTTTTTGGGGCACAAACAAAATATTTCGAGTACACATCTGAATTCTTCTGAAAGCATATACTCCCTCCATTATCAATATACGTGGATAAAAGGAATAATTCGGAACGACTTTGTGTTATCAAATATGAGGTATAAAATAGAGTTCTATAAATATTTAATGATATCTTTCCCAAAATCCACTAAAAAAATACTTAAAACTATTGAATCAATTTCGACTCCACATTTTCCCATGCATGTGGATTGTGGAGTAATGGCGAGAAAAATAGGAAAAATTTTCAAACACTAACTCCATTTAATACTACCTCCGGTCCTTAATATAAGAGTTTTTTAATAGCTAATTATGTCCTAAATATAAGATCTCAATCTACTTTGTCTCTCATAGTTATCTATTTTTTTAAAAATAGTCTTCGTAGTAATTGTACATATTAAAAGCCTAGCTGATACAAATAATTAGCAAGGGTATTCTAGGAAAGATACTACTTATTTATTATAAATAACTAACTTACTTAACTTCCTTAATTTACTTAATTCGTCAACTAGTTTTTATATTAAGGATAAAAGGTTACAGTGTTTATTGATGTGTGCATCATAGTACTTGTACCTTAAATTTGATAAGGGACGGGGTGTTTTAGTTAACCCATGCATTGTAAAAATAATTTTTAAATAAAATATAAATATGTTAGAAGAAGTTTTGATCCCACCGGTTAGGGGCTAGTTCGTTTAAGATTAAAAAGATTTGATTTTAGTTCCGATAAACATGAGAAAGTTGTTAGAAATATAAGGGGTTGTTGGAAGAATTTAAACTACATATATGAGCCATGTGGGGTAAAAAGTTATTTTGATAAGCTATTTGAAGAAGTATGAACGACAACAAAAATATTATTTCATTAAGTTGGTTGGCTACATATATGGATCGCACCCGAGGTATCATTGTGGTCTATCAATAACCAAATATTTGAATAGATTGTTAACCGAAAAATCTTTCCCAAATAATTGCATTCTTTTTTATATTCTTCTATCATTTTTCAAAAGACTCCATAATGTTTGATCAGTGCTCCTCACTAAGGCATTCAATATCCTTTTTTGTATGTGTCCGTACCACCTCTAAAGATTATCTACTTTTTTCTATTCAATAGGTGAAACTCCAAATCTGCCACATATATGTTCACTATGAATCTTACAATGTATACATTTTGTCTTGCTTCTACTCAAATGAAAACTCTTTGACTCTAGAATCCTTTTCTGTAGCCTAAATTTAGAGTTAATCTCTTCTTTAGACTAAGCTAAAAGAACTACACCATCAGCAAAAAGCATGCATTTAGGAACTTTTTCTTTGATAAGCTTATTTAGAACGTTTAGGACTATACTAAACAAATAAGGGCTGAAAGATGATATTCCCTGATGTGGGCCAATCCTTTGAGGAAAATTCCTTGTCTCACCTCTAGGCATTATAACACTAGTTGTTATCCCTTTATACCTATCTTTTATAACTTTAAATGCATGCGCCACACATAGTTTTCTTTGCAAATGCTTCAAAAGTACGTCCTTGGCATGTGGTCATAAGCTTTTGTTTTTGTATTTTTTTACCAAATCAATGAAAACCATATGCCAATCTATCCCTTTGGTTCAACACTTTCCCGCTAACCCTCATAGTAAATAAATTGCTTTTATTGTAGTCTTTTTTGGCATGGACCCAAATTGACTTGAAAAAATGCAAGTATCCAACGTCATGCTATGTTCAATTATATTTTCTCACAATTTCATTGTATGCCTTATAGGCTTAATCTCTCTGGAACTTGCACAATTCTGCATATTCCCTTTATTCTTGTAAATAGGGACCACAGTAAATTTCCTCTGGTCATCAGGAATTTTTCTGGGGAGTAAAATCTCATTAAATAGATTTGAAAGCCACAGCACACCTTGCTTGGACATTTTCAAACTTCAATAATTAAGGACACCAACAACTTTATTATTTTACATTTTCTTAAGAGCTTTAACCTTGTACTCAGCAATGAAACGACATACATGTGCTCGCCTTCTCTAGTTGTCAAATCCTCCAACTCATGCGTTTAAAAACTAAAAATATATCGAACAGAACTCTCACGGGTATACTAAATAACCATTTGATTATTCCTTTCTTCGTGTAGGCATGAAGCAAAACTCATTGAAGAAATTACAGCAGAAGTATGGGCAAAAGTACACCCTAAATTACCATATTGTTTCAACAATGAGCTTGTTGGCATTGAATCAAGAGTAGAAGCAGTGAATTCACTGTTAGAGATTGGATTATGTGATGTTCGCTTAATCGGAATATGGGGCATGATTGGTGTTGGAAAGACAACTCTTGCAAGAATCATCTATGAGAGAATATTTCGCCAATTTGACGTCAGCTGTTTTCTTGCAAATGTGAAAGAAAGCTCTGAGGCCAATGGTTTGGTAGCTTTGCAAAGAAAACTTCTTTCCAAAATTAAGATACAAGCCATAGAAGTTGATGATACATATGAGGGAAAGAATATAACAAGAAACCTGCTATGCAATAAAAGAGTTCTAGTTGTCTTGGATGACGTAAGTGAAATAAACCAATTAGAGAACCTCTGTATAAAGCAAGCTTGGCTGGGTCCTGGGAGTAGAGTAATCGTGACAACTCATAATATGCATGTATTGATAGAGCATGGAGAATTTCAAATTTATGAGGCTGAACTGTTAAACAATGAAGAATCTCTCCAACTCTTCTGCAAGAAGGCTTTTAAAAGGGATGAACCTATAGAAGGTTATTCGGAGCTGTGCACAGACATCATCCACCATGCTGAGGGCCTTCCTTTAACTCTTGAAGTGCTGGGTTCTTATTTTTGTGGAAGAAGTGAACTTGAATGGAAAGAAGGTTTGAAGAAGATTAAAAAGTTTCCACCAAGCAATATTCTAAAGAGGCTTAGAATCAGTTATGATGCATTAAGTGATACGGAAAAGAAAATATTTTTAGATGTTGCTTGTTTGTTCAAGGGAATGATCAGAGACCAAGTGACACAAATATTTGAAATATGTGGTGATCTTTATCCAACGCTTGGAATAAGAGAACTTGTTGAGAAATGCTTGTTGACAGAATATTATAGTAATGATGGTGCATGTCGTTTGGGTATGCACGATATCCTTCAAAAATTGGGCAGAAGTATTGTTGTAGAGGAATCACCTAATGATGCTGGCAGACGTAGCAGACTATGGTCATTAGAAGATATTGATCATGTCATGTCAAAAAACAAAGTAAGTAGCTTTAATTTAGAGATGCCATAAAGTTTAGTAAGATATAGAATTTGTATTGATCAATATAATTCCTTTTTTACAATATAACATTGAATTTTTTTCGTTTTGTAGGGCACTGGTTTGGTAGAAATTATACATCTTCAATCACCTATGCCATATGAAGCGAGTTGGGACCCAGAAGCATTCTCTGCGATGCGTAGCCTTACTATACTCATCATATCATGTGATGTGTACCTTCCTCGAGGTCTCAAATTTCTTCCCAGTTCATTAAAATTTCTTGATTGGAAGGCTTATCCCTTGAAATCTTTGCCCCATTGTGCTCATCTTGATGAGCTTGTGCTCCTTAGAATGCATCATAGCAAGATCACACAAATTTGGGGGAGTACACAAGTAAGAACTGTTGTTTTTTTCCCCCCCCCCCCTTTTTTGGTGTTGCCGTATGAAATTTAGGTCAATCTTTTCTCTAGGAAAGCTAATCCATTTTAACTATTATTTTTTGGGGGCAGATGTCAAAAAGGTTAAAGTTCATTGATTTAAGCTATTCTGAAGATTTCGTACGAACTCCTGATTTCTCGATGCTACCCAACCTTAAGCAATTAATTCTTGAAGGTTGCGCAAAACTCACTGAAGTTCACCCATCACTTGGACAACATAAGAAACTTGTTGTGCTGGATTTGAAAGATTGCAAGAATCTTAAAGCTCTTCCAACTAGAATGGAAATGGACTCACTGAATAAATTGATCCTTTCAGGGTGCTTGAAAATTAAAAAACTTCCAGAGTTTGGGAAAAATATGAGCAACCTGTTGGTTCTTGATGTGAAAAATTGCAAAAGTCTAGTTTGCCTCCCAAGTTCTACTTGTAACTTGAAATCTCTAAAAACTCTCATTATTTTAGGTTGCTCAAAATTTTCCTTGTTGCCAGAAAATTTGAATGAAAATAATTGTCTAGAGGAGCTTGATTTGAGTGAAACTGCTATTAGAGAAATACCTTCATCCATCATTGGCCTACAAAATTTGAAGCTATTATATTTGAAAGGATGTAAAGGTCTAAGTTCAAGATCCAATTCATTAGCAATGAGCTTGCTTTCCCCAATTCAAGAGGTGTTTGGGTTGCATTCTGAAGCTCCCAGAAGATCCTTGTTTTTTTCTTTCATCTCAAGTCTAGCAACTTTGAAGGAATTGCGTTTAGATGACTGTAACCTGAGAGTTGGATCAATTCCAGATGAACTTGGCTGCTTAACATCATTGGAGTTACTTGTTCTAAGCGGAAATGATTTTGGCGGCAATGGATCTACTGATAATTGGATACTTCCTCCTTCATTCTCACGTCTTTCTTCATTGAAGTATTTATACATATGTAAGTGTAATCTCAATGATGGTTCAATTCCTAATGACCTTAATAGCTTATCAGCATTGGAAAAACTTGGTTTGTTAGGAAACAATTTCACACATATACCTGCTGGTTGTATATCTAACCTCTTGCGTCTGCATACTCTTCATTTGAGTCACTGCCCACGGCTCAGGTGTTTGCCAAATCTTCCACCAAATTTACGACGTATAGATACTGTTGCCTGTCATTCAATGCAACCTTTGTCATTTCCAGAGTTACTATTGAAGTGCATTGCTTTCGCAAATGGTTTTGTGGAATCTTTTCCTCATATGCACACAAATAACGTGAGATTTGCCATCTGGTGGGTTCTGGGAAGTGAAATCCCATCATGGTTCCACAATCAAGACTTTCAATACCTTCATAAAATTGATGGGTTTCAAGATAACCATGTTGTCCGAACTTCTGAGGAAGAAATCTCAGATCAAAGTTTTCGCGAAATTAAGAACGGTGGTTTTTTACACGCTGATTCCATTGTGTCAATGGAAGTAGATATCAATGATTTTCGTGGTTCAAGTGAAAGTTGCGGAATTTCTCTTTGCATTGTTCTACAAGATATGGACCTTGATGATGTGTTTGATCTTTTATACCTTAAGATGACTTGTAGAGCTTCAGCAGATGAATTCTTCAAAGAAGAGATACGATGGCGTGTTTCTTTTGAAGGCCATTCCCACCAAATTTTCATCATGTACTTGCCCCTAAGCAATTTTGCAGCTGATTGCAACAAGATTGAAGTCATATTTTACACTACTCGAATTATGCGCGAAGACATGGAAGCAGAATTGGATGTGAAAGCTGACTGTGGAGATCATGGCAAGTTTATAACAAGCAAGTGTGGCTGGCGAGTGACACGAAAGGAAGATGTAGAAGAATGGCTCAGAAAAATCCAACAATGCAGCAGTACCGGTGAAAACAAGGAAATCCTTTCCCAAGAATCTGTTCGTGGAAGAAAGAGATACCATGAAGGGGAAGATCAGCAAGGAGAAGTCACTGTTAGTGATGTGGAAACTGAAACGTATTCAGCTCGACGGAGAAAATTTAACTGGTTTTCTTGATTGGTAAATCACTATATAAGCCCACTTTATTTTATAATGATACCTTGTATTAATTCAAGCTACAATGCACACATACACTTATTAAATGATTGTGTGTGTGATTTAACTCAATGAAACTTTTGACTAGATTTTCATTTGAGTGATGTAACAGCATTTTAATGTTATTGATTGTGATTTCTTACTGGTGTGTTGATCTATGCTTGCACACTCACAATGGTTCGTCTGTTTGATAATTTGTTTCATGATGTTGTGGATATATAAACGGGAAGTAGTGTTTGTTATGGTGTTATGCATTTATCAAATATATATGCATTGTCACAAGTAAAAAAGAAAAATAAAAATCAGATGACAAAAAGTTTCCTTAGAAAATATATTACAATGATGGGCTCAAATGATCAGAAGCACGTCTTGCACTTTTCTTTTTGTGGTTTTAGTTGGGTTTGTGGGTAAGAGATTCTTTTGGTCTTGTAAATATCTTTGATTTCCTTGTGTTTCAGGGTGCAAAGTTGAAGAATGCTATTTTGAAAATGATCCAAATCTTAAAAGGACTTGTCTTCAAAATGAAGTACGCTGATCTAGTGACATGCATTTTAATTTTCATTGAGAAATTGTTTCCCTTTCTTTGAAAGGATTAACAGTGTCAAAATGTGAATGAGATCATGCATTTGAGAATTCTATTTCCCAGTGAAGATGATCTTGATGTTATGATAAATACAAAATATATACATCTCATATATTAAATATACCCTCAAAAGCTCTCTATTCCTTAGGAATCTGATGCAGCTAGCATGAATTTTTCTGTTTCCTACATTATCTGATGCAGTTAGACATAATATTGTTCAAATTAATTATATTATATCCGACTGTCGTCGTAGAAATATTCTAAACTGTAGTCCAATATAATGTACCTTTTGTCCTAAATCATATGATTTCCAGTTCAAGCTGCACAACTTTTCACTGTTGCTTGATACTGTGATTTCATATGGTTTGCAGTCAATTAAAGCGTTATACACTTTTGCTTTAATTTCAGTCCCAGTCATTGAAATATGAATTAAATTTATTCCCATTTGTTCTTCCAAAAATATTTATATATAATTAAGGAGTAAAACAATGTAACTAGTAAATGACTATTATAATATACACACATACATGTCTATAGGTGTGTATGTATATTTATGAGGATAAGATCAATCTTGCATTGATATATAAATTAACGCAAATTAGTAATGGAGATTAAATTTAGAGGCACTACAAAAAAAAATTAATTTTCAGCCACACTAAAAGTCAAAAAGTCATCGATTGTTGGAACTTATCAACCACGACAAAAGAGGCACTTCGTCTGTGCCATGTGTCTCCACCTTCATGTGTCACGTCACTAACTGGATATTATCACCTAACCTTCTTCTTCTGCGTTCCTTCTTCTTACCATTGAGTGGAATAAATCTGATAATAATTATTGTAAATCATATATAAATAATAGTAATAAAATAATGAAAGCGACAAAAAAAGTTACTGCAGAAGGTGTCCTTTAGCAGCGATTATTAAGTATTATTAAATGATATTATTGTTATTAAATATTTATATTTAATTTTCTATTTGATTAAAATACTTATCTGTAATATTCATTTTGTATAAAAAACTATAATTCATACAATATTATTTGTGTTATATTTTTTATTTCTAATTATTTAAGCTATTACATTATTTATTTTAATATTTACATTTATAATTATGAATATGAAAATAGTATATAAAAAATAATAAAAATTTAATTATAAATTTTATTGTGATAAAAATTCAAACCTTCAGGCTGATAAAACTGCAATATTCTGATGCTCGTCTTTTTCTATATCTCTTGTTTGAGAGTGCCGTTGTGTTGGGTTATCCAAGTAGCTCTGACATTCTCTAAATTTTAGAATCATATTAATATTCTCTCTTACAAAAAAAAAAAATTTGCACAATTATCTACTCGGTTGTTTTGATTTCAGTGGTATTTCGGAAAAAGATATTAACATGCTGCTTCGATATTTTCCAACTCACTGTTTTTACTTTTTTGTTTTTAAATTTATCAAAATTATTTCATCAAATAGTCCTTAAGAAAAGTTGAAAACTCGGGCTGGATGTAGGTACGTAATGGGGTAAATCCACAATAAATCTCATTATTTGGACACACTAAAGCTCCATCCATAGTTTCTCTCTCAAGTTCTGCTTTGTGTTTTCTCATAGAAAGCTCTATTTTGTTGCATCAAAATTTCATGATAGGAATAGTTACATACTCCCCTTAGCTACTAATAACCTCCCGAAGTTCCTACAAATTCAACTTGTTTTAACACTTTTTTTTGGGTTTTAGAAGCTGATTGTGCAGGGTTATTCCCTTAAGGTAGTGTTTGGTTGGGGGGTTTTTGGAGGGGAGGAGAAGAGAGGGAGTGAGTGTGTTTGGTTGGGAGGAGGAGAGGGGAGGGGAAGTAAAATTTTTTGTCTTTTCTCACCCCTCCCCTTCTCCACCATCCCTCCCAAATCAGGGGGTTTTGGAGGGAAGAGAAATTTTTTGTATATCCTGACTAAATTACCCACGCTCACTTTTCAATATTCCAATTTTGCTCATCTGACTAAAGCATTTCTTTCCTTCTCTACCGTCGCTTTGTTCTTCTTTACACTCTGTATTAGTCATCGATCTCCTCCACAGGTTCGTGCTTATTGTTGCCTTCTATCCTTCTCTTGCTGCACAAGATCTCACTGTCTACCTGAGCTTTCTTTCCCCTTCGTCATCATCGTCATCTTCTTTTTCACTTTGCCAACGCTATTATCATCTTTGCTTTTGCGGGGTTGTTTCTACCTGCGATTCGCATCATTGTTGATGATGACAACGATGCAGCTTTTGATAAGGATCCTTAGCCAGCCGTCAATTATCCAACGTTGTAATCGAAAATCAGGATGAAGACTAGATGAAGATTTGTTGTGATTTTTGGAGATTTTCTGAATATTTTAAATTTTAAATTTTTTTTAATTTATATGTTAGCAGATTTCGTTGCTTATATGTTAGTTTGGATTTTGTTAAAATTTGGTGATAATGTGGATTTTTCCATAACTAACACCATCACTGGTTTACTATGACTAATATTATTTAAAATTAGTATTATCACACACCGTGAATAGAATCATAAAATATAATTTTGAATATGCATATAAATATAAATATAAACACATAAATATAAACATATAATTTTATATCTTAATTGTTATTTATGATTATATTTTATTAAATATTCTGTTAAGTTTAAAAAAATTACTGATTTAAAAACTACTTAAAAAGGAGATAAAATTGTTCATATAAAAATATTTCCCTTCCCCTCCCCTCTTGAAACAAACAAAACAACGTTGAAATTTCTCACCTCATCTCTCCTTTATTAAAATCTCTCTCCTCCCCTTCCTTTCGTTGAACCAAACTCACCCATAATAAGAGTAATTTGCATTTATCACATGTAAGAGAGGTAATTGGTTTTTTTTTAAAATTGATAAATTAAGAAATAATAATTCTGATATAAATATTATAATAAAAGAATAAAGGAGTCTAAATATAAAGATAAGGGCATATTTGTCAATTTATAATTACCGTCCCTCCCCTCCCCTTATGAATCAAACAAGGAATCTCCCCTCCCTTCCCCTCTCCTCCAACCAAACCAAACCCATAACCTTCCCTCCCCTTCGTTTAATTCCCCTCCCCTCCCCTCCCTTCATTGAACCAAACAATGCCTAAAGCTAGAAAATATAGCTTGAAAAAAGTAAACTTTGATTTATGCTAGTAATTGGGGATTATTTATGCAATGCTTCTAAGATTCTTGTTGCAGGAAATAGCAAAAGCTAGAAGATGAATGACAAGGGGAAAGATTCAACCAATTTTGGTTGATCAGAGAAAGATCGAGGACCCAAAGCGAGGAAAGATGGAAGACCAAAGCGGCACCTGAAGCAACCCGCTGCGGCGTCTCCAACAGAAAGGAAGGAGAAGTATTCTATATAAGGTGCCACAGTGCTTGTCTATACCCACCGCAGCTCCCAGTCCTTCCCGAGGAGCTTGCCATTCTGTAATAGGCGTGCCGCAGTGCCAGTCCATATTCGTCGCAGTGCCTAACCCTTTCCAACACTTTCCCCTTCTATGTAATCCATCATAGCAGATGAATATTATATCTGCCATGGAGTTTATCCTCTCACAGCTGTGCATTTTGCATTTGTAACTTAAAAATTAGGGCATATAAGAGGGGGCACTCATGATTTTCAACAAACCTGGACTTGGGGGCTTATTTGGAGGTGTTCTCTGCTAGGGTTTGGTGGTTTTGAAACTTGGGAACATTGGGCTTGAAGTTGCAAGAGATTGGAAGCTTCTTCCTTCATTTCCTTTGGTTTTCTTCTCCTCTTCTCCTTTGTTTCTATTATGGCTGTGAAATGTCTATGTATTTGTAGCTCTTTGCTAGACATATGTAGCTAGAGTAGTCATTCTAGGGTTATTGGATTAAGACTTGTTTTAACTCTCTCTTTACTGTTAATGATAATGTTATGTTGTTTTTATCTTGAGTTTAATGCTTTCTTATGATTGGCCACTATTTGGAATGATTTGTTGATGGGTTGAAGCTTGACCAAGTTAAATCGATTTTTGAACTTGGGTAAAAACATGCTAGATTGGAAATTTATCCTATGAAATGGATGGTTTGTTGATAGAATAGAGATATATCTATTGATCTAGCATTGACAAAAAACGGTTTTGATTTTCAAAGTGTAATCTTTTCAAACAAAAGCAAGAGATTGTGAAGTTTTACTAAGATTGCAAAAACTTGATTTTGACTTGAGAGAACTTCATCAATATTTGTAAACCTTGGGCTAACTTAACTTATCATTAAACACTAAAGGAGACGTTACTAATCAAGTTTTATGAAGTATAATAGTGAGAGATAACCCTAGATCCTTATTTGTCTCAAAGTCAAGTTTATTTTATTTCAAGTTTAATCTTTGTTTTCAAAGTACATTAAACAACTTCATTTACAGTAATTATTTCACTTAACCTAATCAAGCATACAATTATGATTTTTAATTCATCTAGCCTTAGCCTTTGAGAGAATGATATTTTTCATACTACTTGCGACCCGTCCGCTTGTTGATAAGTTAATCGGTGAATAGCTACCAGCTAGTAAGTTTAGATGAATTAGACTTAAAGAAGGAAATACTCACTCTGGTTCAAAATATAAGCATTAAATAACTAGATAATGCAATTCAAAAAACCTGGTTAAAATTGATTGAATGACAATAAATATGTGAAAAAAATGCAACTTATTTTTCTAAAAAACCCTTATTTATGGACAGGGTAAGTGAGTGAGAGAATGAGTGTGAAAAGAGATGAGAGAGACATATAATTAATTAGAAGTAAAAATGAAAAAATGCATCAAATGATTAAACAAATCCAAATTGTAGTTAAAAAAAAAACCAAGCTGCTTTAAAGATTTGATGCTTATGTATTTTGAAGCAGAGGAATTAATATTCTAAGAATAAGAAGTAATTTCATATTGCTTACCAATAAGGAACGGTGGTTGCCAATGGTCAGACTTGCTGTGCCCGTCAAATTTTGGCTGCATGCGTGTGTGTTTGTATTTAATTTCTGACTGACACTGATTTACTTACAGCGAAATCAAAACAGAAAAAGCGGCAACTTGTTACTCCATACTATATTAAAAGTGGTCTCGCACTCACTTTCCAAACGAGACAAATTTAATCATTGACCAAAGTGAGATCGAAAGTTGCAAGTTTAAAGAATCTCCATCTTTTCTATTTCACTCTCTCCTTCCATTTTCTGATATCTATCCACAGTTCTTCCTATTTCTGAAGCAATCTGACTTTCGTCTTCCATGAACTCTACAATCTCGCCATGGACGTACCATGTTTTTTTGAGCTTCAGGGAGAAGACACTCGAAAAGGCTTCAGAGACCACTTACATGCTGCTCTGAAACAAAGGGGTATCATAACTTTCTTAGATGATAATCTCAACAGAGGAGAGAGGTTCTTTCTGATCAAATCCTCCAAGCAATTGATGAATCTCTCATCTCTCTTGTTGTTCTCTCTCAGAGTTATGCTTCTTCCAGTTGGTGTTTGGATGAGCTTGAAAGGATTCTTGAATCTAAAAGATCTTTGGGTAGAGAAGCTATCCCAATCTTCTGTAAGGTTCATCCATCTGATGTGCGTCGTCAAAGAGGTAGCTTTGGTCGTGCCCTTCAACAGCATGCTGAGAGATTTGCTGGAAACAAAGAGAAGCTGAAGAGGTGGAAAGACGCCTTCGAAGAAGTTGCAAATATATCTGGCTATGACTCTACGGATCAGTAAGTTCCTTATTGTTGTGATAGGCCTTTTAACAACTCAACATAGAATTAACATTACTAATCACTTAATAGTACTTCCTCCCATCCCAAATATGGTAGTTAAATAACTAATTTGTAAAAATTAAAAAAAAATTAGCTTAGTTAATTATTTGTAAAAAAAAATTTAATTTTTTCCAAAAGCACACCTTTTAATTATTTGCATTGAATACTTATACTTACGAAGAATAATATTATATAGAGCAAAATACTCTAGCTACCTTTTAAGTTTGTATCAATTATACAGACCTCTTTTTTATTTTAAAAACATATAGTTTAGTCTAATTAGTTAATACTGTTAGAAATATTCTAAAAAGATTCTAAAAATATCATTTTTAACTGAAATTTATATTAAAATAAATTTTATTTACTATTTTACACCTCATTCTAATAAATTCTTAAATTATATTTTTACCGTTACATAAATTTCATTCAATTAAGGCAAACATAAAAGACTTGGTTAAAAATTTAACTAATTTTTTGAATAAATATATATATACTTGATTAAATATGTTTATAAATTTTTGTAACAAAAATGTGTTTCAAAATTTTGAATTATAAATTTAAATAATTTATAAAATCTTTCAAACTTATAAACTTTATGACAAACAAAACCTACGTATTTGAAATATATTTTTACAATTTTAAAAGACAATCAAAATAAATAATTTCTACTGAATATGATAAAATATTAAAATAATAAAATTTTATGATTTGATCAAAATTAATAAATTTTATAACATGTTAAAATTTTTTTAAAAAATATGTATTAGAATTATTTTTTGATTTTATAAAAAAAATTTATTTAAAATATAAATGTCTAAATAATTATTAAGTTAACAGGGGGTTTTGGTAAAATAATAATTTAAAATCAAATTTAGCGATCAATTAACGGTTTGGGTGAATGAAAATAAAATTTTAAATATAATAGGAAGGTTTGTGTAACATTTGTCTTAATTTTAAGGAAGGTTTATATATTTTCAAAATGGAGGAGAATTGGTATATTTTACTCTATTATATATTGTTGAAGAAAGTTTGACACAGTAGTGTTAAAATCTCATAACTTTTGGTCATTCCGTCTTCTAACTCGTTTCTTATGCAACAGATCTTTCTCAAAACTTTTATTTTTTGGCCAGCCTTTCTCAAAACTCTTGTTCTATGCTATTGATTGAAGCAATATTTTGGACTTCAATTCAATTATAGTTTCGCAGCAAATACCCCAATTCGAGTAGGGCGGATGGATAATTCTGTGCGCGTGTGTACGTGCCTTTTTAATTTTTCACTGGACTCTTGAAGTTGTTTTTACTGTTTCGTAATGCCGCAAATAAAATACTCCTTCGTTATTTCATATAGGACTTATTTTACTATTTTGATTAAATTAAAAAAGTTAGTTAAGTTAAATAATAATCATAAATATAATATATGTTTTCCAAAATACCCTTAGAACTCCTTTAAAAAAACTAACATTTCAAAAAATATTTTAAATTATTTTATTAAAAATATAAAATGGTAGAATTGATATATGTGTGGAATTAATGAGTAATAAGTACTCACTCACTTTATAAAATATATATAAGTATTATTAATGAGTAATAAGTATTATTGTGGTATTTAATTATTTAATAGGGGTAATTTAGGAAAGAATTGGTAAATATAAGAGATAGGTCCTATATTTAGGAATAAGATTAACCTTCTAATTATTAAGGACCGGAGAAGTAACTTTCATACATTTAAATTCAAATTTTGAAACCGAAATTGCAAAATTAAATAATAAATATTTTTATTGATTATTAGTCAACTATTTTGACTATCTAATTTATTGCTAAAATTAGCCGCGCCAAGGAGAATCGGTGACCTCATCAATGGGCGGCACAAAATGAAAAATCTAACGATTTTGTATAATATCCTAATATGGTCAATAATAATTAAATGATGGCACCAAACGGTCCTTAATCACTCCTAACATTTAACCTTTGTTTTCATTGAGCTTAAGGAAGTACTATTAAAGTATATTTTGAGTTTTTTTTAACTTTATGCAATATTTCAATTTAGTCCCTTAATTTAAAAGGTATATTTTTAGTCATTTAACTCTAAAATTGTTAATAAGAAATAATGATATTAAAATCCTAAATGTTGATAAAATATTATCAAATGCTAATATATTGAGTTTAATTTTTAAAAAATAATAATTATACAAAAATCATCATTTAAGACTAAAAATTTTAAGGTTAAAGAATGAAAAATATATTTTTTAAAGTTAAGGACTAAACTGAAACATTATATGTTTACCAAGAAGAACGGATGAAATATATATGACGAGCGCGTTTTCAATCTAAGGTCACTTGATCATGAGAGTGTGGACGTAATTATACTAGATGCACACGGGGACACTACAATATTTTTATGAGAAAATTGGGATAAATTCCTTGTTGAGAAATTAATTAACAAATGGTCTCTAAAAGATTTTATGCAACCTAATTTTCCTTGTGTGCAACTTAACTTCCCTTCTCCTTTTACGTGCAATCATCTTCCCCATACCACATCTTTTTGTACAGCTAAACTTCGCTTGTATGTAATCCCTCTTCTTTTAGTACCAGTTTTTTTTTTTTTTTTTCATATGCAAATTAGTTTGTCGTGTCCAGATAACAAGTCTCATGCAACTTAGCTTCCTTTGTGCAACATATCATCCTAAAGACTATTTGCTAATTAATTTTTTAATGAGGGATGTATCCCCAATTTTCCCTATTTTTACTTTATGTTACTCGTTAAAAAATGTTGCCAAAAGGTAACCTTAAATTATAAGCAACGTTTTAAAAATTATAAATATTTCCAATGTCACCATGCACATGCTCCTCCATCCATTTAAAGGTGCTCATGAGGCCCAAAAGCCCACAATACCCACCTAAGCTGGTTAAAACTATGCTCAGCCTAATCTTAAAAAAGTAGCCTGAAAAATAATTGACATTTTCAGGCGAGGCAGGGTATTGAGCAAGGTATGCTACATACCCATTTGGCCCTACTAGAGTCTACATATATAATTCTATTTAATATATAATGTATATTCATTATATACAATTGTATTTAATATATATGTAGTATACATAGTTGGTAGAATTAAATCTTTCAAGATTTAAGTTGTTGAGATATTCAAGGAACAAAAAACTAGAATGGTCAATAAACTGATTGTGTGCTAATTCACGAGTTAATGGATTAGATGGGGTTAGACTGGAGTTAAATCGATAATAATTATAAAAATATGTAAAAAAAATAATGTAATTTAATTAAAATATGTATAAAAAAAATTCATGTTCTAATTATGAAAAAAATACAAGTTAATCTTTTTATTTTTTTTCTTTTTATTCTCTCCCCTTTTCATCACCCATTAAATATTACCTTTTGGCTTTGTTTTTTTACTTTTTTTTCTTGTCAGATTTACATTTTTACTTTTACTTCTTATTGTCTCTCCTTATCTCCTACGCAAACACTTGACATGTTTTACTTTTTCTCCACTCTCTTCTCCTGCCACACTTATCCATCAAATCATGTCATTTGGCTTTTGTTTTTCTTATCTCCCAATACATGCTTGCTCTCTTTTCTCCTTTCTCCCTCCCTCCCTCCGTCCCTCCCCAAGGCTGCCCTCTTTTCTTTCCTCCTCCTTCCCTTCAATCAACACCAAGGTCTCTTTCTTCTCCCCTCTCTTTCTTCTTTCTTTCCATGAGCAACATGAGTCTTCCCTTCAATATTGAGATGAAGATATAGCAGCAATAGCCATAGAGTGCGAATGACGGCTATGGAGAAAGAAATGAAGAGTGAAAACAATGACTACAAGCACCAGCAAAGTTTGATTGGAGGACTGAGCTTAAAACCGACAAATAGGCAAATAAATATGGAGTTTCTTTTCTTCTTTCTTTTTTTCATTTTTTGTCCAGATTATTGATCAGACTTTGGTTTTTTTTTGGGGTAAAAACTAGAGCCACATCATTTTGGTCCATTTTGAAGGGCAAAATAATTAAACCAGGTAACCCACTCCAACTGGTGGTTACCTAGTTAAACACCGGTTCGAACTATGACCAGTTCACCTATTAAGCAAGACTCGATACTAAGCTAGTTCATCGGTTTTGTGGTTGAACTGGTCAGTTTGGTCTGGTTTTTTTCTTCTATGGACATATTTGATCATGGCTTTTGTGTGAAGACCTATCAAGTTGTGTTTGATTATGTAATTATAATGAGATATGAAATGATAGATAGATATGTGGATTTGTAGTAGTGTTTATATTTATTCTCTTCAAATATTTTAAGTTGTGGAACTGTAAATATATTTATAATCCAAAATATTATTTATTAAGTGTACCCATGAAGATCTTCACATAATATGACAGAGGTATCACTATTTGGGCATGGAAGGCCATCTTACCTAGCCTAGCACAGTCCCGCCTGCAATTACTTGGGCTTTCATTGGGTAGGGTTGAGCATTGGGCTGCAAAATGTAACCCATTCATTTTTCGGGCAAGGCATCGGGTAAGGGTCTGGCCCACCTATGTGCAACCCTACCTCCATCCTCTATCTTACCCAATATTTCTGTTATTTTTCAACTTATTTCTGATTATTTTCCCCTTCTTGCCGGGCCAAATTGTACTTTCGAAAATATAACTTTGAAAAAAATATTACGAAGCATTTTTGATATCTTGATGGATAAAATAGTTTTTATACGGAGCCCATCATAAATTTAAATATTTTCAAGGATAATGTTTTTCCCATCAGAATATCTCGAACTATCATTTTATCAATGATTACGATGTTTTATTGCGACAAATTTTTGTCTTTAGTATATCCTTACCAAGCATGAATTACATAAGTATTGAGCATATACAAAATTATGCCATCATTATTCCATGTGTTGATAATAATATGAAAAGCAACACAGGCAACATTTCTCATATAGTTTTGTATATATTTTGATTTTGGGGCACAAACAAAATATTTCGAGTACACATATGAATTCGTCTGAAAGCATATACTCCCTCCATTATCAATATATATGTATAAAAGGAATAATTCGGAACGACTTTGTGTTATCAAATATGAGGAATAAAATAGAGTTCTATAAATATTTAATGATATCTTTCCAAAAATCCCCTAAAAAAAAATACTTAAAACTATTGAATCAATTCGACTCCCCATTTTCCCACGCATGAGGATTGTGGAGTAATGGCGAGAAAAATAGGAAAAATTTTCAAACACTAACTCCTTTTAATAGTACCTCTGGTCCCTAGTGTAAACTTTTTGAAGAAGTGAACTTTCATGAGTATACTAAATAACCATTTGATTATTCCTTTCTTCGTGTAGGCATGAAGCAAAACTCATTGAAGAAATTACAGCAGAAGTATGGGCAAAGGTACACTCTAAATTGCCATATTATTTCAGCAATGAGCTTGTTGGCATTGAATCAAGAGTAGACGCAGTGAATTCACTTTTAGAGATTGGATTACGTGATGTTCGCTTAATCGGAATATGGGGCATGACTGGTATTGGAAAGACAACTCCTGCAAGAATCATCTATGAGAGAATATTTTGCCAATTTGATGTCAGTTGTTTTCTTGCAAATGTGAAAGAAAGCTCTGGGGCCAATGGTTTGGTAGCTTTGCAAAGAAAACTTCTTTCCACAATCAAGATAAAAGGCCTAGAAGTTGATGATACATATGAAGGAAAGAATATAACAAGAAACCTGCTATGCAATAAAAGAGTTCTAGTTGTCTTGGATGACGTAAGTGAAATAAACCAATTAGAGAACCTCTGTATAAAGCAAGCTTGGCTGGGTCCTGGGAGTAGAGTAATGTGACCACTCATAATATGCATGTATTGATAGAGCATGGAGAATTTGAAATTTATGAGGCTGAACTGTTAAACAATGAAGAATCTCTCCAACTCTTCTGCAAGAAGGCTTTTAAAAGGGATGAACCTATAGAAGGTTATTCGGAGTTGTGTAGGTTATTCGGAGTTGTGTGCGGACATCATCCACCACGCTGAAGGCCTTTAACTCTTGAAGTCCTTGGTTCTTATTTTTGTGGAAGAAGTGAGCTTGAATGGAAAGAAGCTTTGGAGAAGATTAAAATGTTTCCACCAAGCAATATTCTAAAGAGGCTTAGAATCATTTATGATGCATTAAGTGATATGGAAAAGAAAATATTTTTAGATGTTGCTTGTTTGTTCAAGGGAATGATCAGAGACCAAGTGACACAAATATTTGAAATATGTGGTGATCTTTATCCAAAACTTGGAATAAGAGAACTTGTTGAGAAATGCTTGTTGACAGAATATTATAGTAATGATGGTGCATGTCGTTTGGGTATGCATGATATCCTTCAAAAAATGGGCAGAAGTACTGTTGTAGACGAATCACCTAATGATGCTGGCAGACGTAGCAGGCTTGGTCATTTGAAGATATTGATCATGTCGCGTCCAAAAACAAAGTAAGTAGCTTCAATTTAGAGATGCAATAAAGTTTGGTAAGATATAGAATTTGTATTGATCAATATAATTCCTTTGTTACAATATAATGTTGAATTTTTTTCATTTTGTGGGGCACTGATTTGGTAGAAGCTATACACATTCAATCACCTATGCCATATGAAGCGAATTGGGACCCTGAGGAATTCTCTATGATGCGTAGCCTTACTATACTCATCATATCATGTGATGTGTACCTTCCTCGAGGTCTCAAATTTCTTCCCAGTTCATTAAAATTTCTTGATTGGAAGGCTTATCCTTTGAAATCTTTGGCCATGGTGCTCATCTAGATGAGCTTGTGCTCCTTAGAATGCATCATAGCAAGATCACACAAATCTGGCGGAGTGCACAAGTAAGAACTGTTTTTTTTTTTTTTTTGGGTTTTTACCTTATGACGTATAGCTTTCTTTTTTCTGGGAAAGCTAATCCATTTTAGCTTTTACTTTTTGGGGGCAGATGTCAAAAAAGTTAAAGTTCATTGATTTAAGCTATTCTGAAGAATTTGTAAGAACTCCTGATTTTCCGATGCTACCCAATCTTGAGCAATTAATTCTTGAAGGTTGCGTAAAGCTCGTGAAGTTCACCCATTACTCGGACAGCATAAGAAACTTGTTGTACTGGATTTGAAAGATTGCAAGAATCTTAAAGCTCTTCCAACTAGAATGGAAATGGACTCACTGAATAAATTGATCCTTTCGGGGTGCTTGAAAATTAAAAAACTTCCAGAGTTTGAGGAAAATTTGAGCAACCTATTGGTTCTTGACGTGAAAAATTGCAAAAATCTTGTTTGCCTCCCAAGTTCTACTTGTAACTTGAAATCTCTAAACATTCTCATTATTTTAGCTTGCTCAAAATTTTCCTTCTTGCCAGAAAATTTGAATGAAAATAAGTGTCTGGAGGAGCTTGATTTGATGAAACTGCTATCAGAGAAATACCTTCATCAATCATTGGCCTACAAAATTTGAAGCTTTTATATTTGAAAGGATGTAAAGGTCTAAATTCAAGATCCCATTCATCAGCAATGAGCTTTCTGTCCCCAATTCAAGAGGTATTTGGGTTTTATTATGAAGCTCCCAGAAGATCCTTGTTTCTCTCTTTCATCTTAAGTCTAGCAACTTTGAAGGAATTGCTTTTAGATGACTGTAACCTGAGAGTTGGATCAATTCCAGATGAACTTGGCTGCTTAACATCATTGGAGTTACTTGTTTTAAGCGGAAATGATTTTGGCAGCAATGGATCTACTGATAATTGGATACTTCCTCCTTCATTCTCACGTCTTTCTTCATTGAAGTATTTATACATATGTAAATGTAATCTCAATGATGGTTCAATTCCTAATGACCTTAATAGCTTATCAGCATTGGAAAAACTTGGTTTGTTAGCAAACAATTTCACACATATACCTGCTGGTTGTATATCTAACCTCTTGCGTCTGCATACTCTTCATTTGAGTCACTGCCCACGGCTCAGGTGTTTGCCAAATCTTCCACCAAATTTACGACCTTAGATACTGTTGCCTGTCATTCAATGCAACCTTTGTCATTTCCAGAGTTACTATTGAAGTGCATTGCTTTTGCAAACGGTTTTGTGGAATCTTTTCCTCATATGCACACAAATAACGTGAGATTTGCCATCTGGTGGGTTCTGGGAAGTGAAATCCCATCAGGGTTCCACAATCAAGACTTTCAAGTCCTTCATAAAATTGATGGGTTTCAAGATAACCATGTTGTCCGAACTTCTGAGGAAGAAATCTCAGATCAAAGTTTTCACGAAATTAAGAACGGTGGTTTTGTACACGCTGATTCCATTGTGTCAATGGAAGTAGATATCAATGATTTCCGTGGTTCAAGAGAAAGTTGGGGAATTTCTCTTTGCATTGTTCTCCAAGATATGGACCTTGATGATGTGTTTGATCTTTTATACCTTAACATGACTTGTAAAGCTCCAGAAGATGAATTCTTCGAAGAAGAGACACGATGGCGTGTTTCTTTTGAAGGCCATTCCCACCAAATTTTCATCATGTACTTGCCCTTAAGCAATTTTGCAGTTGCTTGCAACAAGGTTGAAGTCATATTTTATACCACACGAAGTATGCGCGCAGGCATTGAAGCAGAATTGGATGTGAAATCTGACTGCGGAGATCATGGGAAGTTTATAATAAACAAGTGTGGCTGGCGAGTGACACGCAAGGAAGATGTAGAAGAATGGCTCAGAACAATCCAACAATGCAGCAGTACCAGACAAAAGAATGAAATCCTTTCCCAATAATCTGTTCATAGAAGAAAGAGATACCATGAAGGGGAAGATCGGCAAGAAGAAGTCACTGTCAATGATGTGGAAACAGAAACATATTCAGCTCGACGGAGAAAACTTAAATTGTTTTCTTGATTGGTAAATCACTGTATAAACCCTTTATTTTCTTCTCACCTTGAAACTTATCTAATGCTACCCTATACACATTGAAGTTACAATGCAAGAATACACCTTAGCTATAACATGATAGACTGTTGAATTTGTTCTATAAACTTCTTTCGATCGCAGGTTAAATTACAGACAGCAAATACTCACAATGTTTCATTTGTTTGCTGATTTGTTTCATGAAGTCGTGAATGTATAAACAGCAGGTAGTGTTTGGGATGGTGTATTCGTTTATCAAATACGCACGGTCACAAGCAAAAAGAAAAATAAAAATCAGATCATAAAGTTTCCTTAGAAAAAATGACAATGATCGACTCAAATGATCGGAAGTATGGCTTCCACCTTTCTTTTTGTCCCCCCCCCCCCCCCGTTTAGCTTTGGTTGTTCAGAGATTATTGTTTTGTCTTGTAAATATTCTTTGATTTCATTGTGTTTCACGGTGCAAAGTTGAAGAATGCTATCCTGAGAATGATGCAAATCTTAAAAGAACTTGGCTTCAAAATAAAATACGTACGTAGATCCCCTAGTGACATATACATTTTAATTTGCTTTGAGAAAAAATTTCCCAGTAAAGATGATCTTGATGTTGTGATAAATACAACTATATATATCTCATATATTAAATAAACTTTCACACATTATATGCGCAGGGTTTCTTGTTGCATTTGTTTGTCCATGATGTGATGATTCTTTCGAATAATTTCCACGTGTTATAATCCAATTTATGTGCTGAAAATAAATTTGTCCATATACAATATGCTAGCAAAAGAAACTTATACATATGCATTCTCTTTTGCAACAGGTTTCACTCAGGAATTGGGAGGTCCAGAGCTTGATGGTGCCAATTTGGTTGGAGCACTTCGCACTGACTTGTTTGATCCGTCTTCTAACTCTTACTTCTTCCTGCACAGGAAACTCTAGAAAAATCTGCATAAATAATCCCCAAAAATTAGTTCAAATCAATTTTCAGACACTCATTGTATTTTCCTATTTTAAAGGAGTAAGCATGCACATTTAGCTTCCAAAAATCATATTAAAATGAGCCAAATTGGTGGGAATTTCAAGTGGTTGTCACTTGTGTTCTTTTACTCTGGCAAATGGTGAAGAATATGTTGTGATCAGTGATGAGTATTTTATTTTATTTGTGGAGCGTACTTTGACTCAAAAGCTTTCTCTTTGACTTGGGGATCTGATGTAGCTAGATATTAATTTTTTTCCCCCTCCATTAGCTAACGCAGACACAAGTATTGTTCGAATTAATTATATAATTAGACTATCTCTGGCTTTTAACACAAGACCCAATTCACTAATTTGAGAAGATTAAGGAAGTTATTAAATATAAAATTTCAATCTATGTTGTCTTTTAAATTTATAACTTTTTCTCTAAAATAACCTTATTAGTTGTAATGGTTCTCAATAAGGGGTAATTTCAATGCACATAATTAATTAAATATGATAGTTTAAGGAGTCACACGTTTATTACAAATAACTAACTTTATTAATTTTTTTAATCTCTCTAAATTAGTTATCTAACTATTATTATATTAAAGACGGGAGGTAATAGTTCTGGGAATGCAAAGGATAGTTGCCCTGCTTGTTTCAGCTCTGCTACGCGAACAGATTGCAACCTAACTCTTCTCCATTTAGCTCGAACTGAACTAAAATCGTTACACAAGATAGTGATGACGACTCTCTTTGTGTTTAGAACAAATTTCTCCTCTCTCCTGACTAATGGTTTCGTGGAGCCCAATGCTGAGATGGCTTCCAATGTCATGGACTGCCAGGTTTTTGCCACAAAGGAAATGAAAAAGAGAAAGCGATAGATCTGAGGTTGATTCTGGGCATTTTCGTTCAAAGAGAACTAAAGTGGTTTCTCTTTGCACTATAGTTTATGTTCAAAAAATGAGGTACATTCCTTGGTGACATTTTGATTTGCTTTGACAATAACTCTAACCAATGCCATGCACGTGAGATTTCATGTTTTCATTCCCAGCTTGCGAACAATCTCTCCACTGAGTAGTTAGTCCTCTGTTTTCCCTCTATATATTAATGGAAAAATTACAATGAGGTCCCAAAAAGAAAAAAAAATTACAAAACAAATCCCATAAATGGTCATTTTCTACTCTGAAACTTGTCATTACACGTTGTTTAGGTTGTTATTGAGATTTTTTAGTAATTATTTTCTTTCTTTGAAACTTGATTATAATTCTCCCTATATTAATAAGCAAAGGTAATATATCGCTAAACAATGCATTGCCTATAAGGCCCTTCTTCGCCTAGCCTGTCAAATTTAAATCCTTTACAATTCATTTACCCTGTTTTAAGACATCCGTGGGCATGACGTTATTCACATTTGCATTTTTGGGAAAAATAATGTTATATCATCCTTATTATTTATTTTACGGGAAGAGTCCCCATCATTGTTTTTCAGACACAAGGGTAACGGAGACAAAAAGAGCAGCCAATGAGGAAAGTGAGATGAGTATTCTCTTCATTATTTGTATTGTTGGCTGTTAATATCAAACTGAAGATTGCAAATAAGATAGAGAATACTACTGGAGATTGCAAGAGAAGGATATAATGGCTCTGGTTGAGTTAAATGTAGGATATCAGTATAGTTTTCAAATTATAGGGACTCATTTCCATTAAAATATAGAAAGGTTATTCAATTCCAGTAGGAATGATATTAAGTGGAGAGAGCAGCAAAATTTCTTAGACGACATTGATGAATTCCAGAACTTGGTCATTTCACTCGCAAGTTACAGAATTTGTTAGCCGACATTGATGAATTCCAGCACTTGGTCATTTCACTCACAAGTCACACTGGGTATATTTTAAAATATTTGTCGTTTAAAATTATGAAGGGAAAACTAATTTGAAGGTCCTTATAGTTTTCATCAATTTTGAGTCAGATCCCTAAGCTTCTTTTTTCTTTTTATTGAGTCTTCTTAACTTTCTGCGGTTAGATCCGTTACTTCCTGATGTTAGATTAAAACAAACACTGTTAAAATCTCCGTTAGTAAGCAAAGCAGGACATCTGAAACACCTTGGCCATCCTTCTCTTTCGCCATAACCCAAGCTCTGAGACCACGCTTCCCCCCTTATTCCTCAACATTTTTTCCTTCCCCACTATCTTCCTGACCTCACCGTACCGCTGTTCCCTCCCACCTCTTCAGCCATCGGACAAATATACAGGGTAATATTTTTCACAGGTCAGCTATTGGAATTGTGATGATTGCTGTTAGAATTAAATGCCCCGGAAGCATCACATTCCTAGCTGTACCATCAACCTCTAATTAAGTTAAGTTTCAAACAAAGATTTCACAAAATGTAAAGGTTCAATATGTCAAAAAAATTTTAAATTATTTGCAGCCAAGTGTAGGGAGCGTTTCGTGAAGAGTTGAAGTTGACTTCATATCGTTCATAAAGAAGAAGAAGAAGAAGACAAACCTTTTCATAACAACATGATATTTTTCTTTGTTTTTTCTAAGATAGTTTGAAGTGGAAAACGACGTGAGGGATTCCTGTATGGGGTAATTTTTTTCCTGGTGAGCCAAAGGGTATCACTTCTTAGTGGAAAGCATTTTTCTCTCTCTATAGAATGAAACTCTAGTCATTTTCCCTCTATTTCCAGGCTTCACTTTAACAGGGAGATCTCTATCCATTGTGGATTTGTGCTTGCTCCGTTTGTGGCGATCCAAGGCGACACGATAAAGCCCCATTTTTTAACATAGAAAGTGTATATTATACGAAGAGGGGGGGGAGCTTTGGATATGATGGAAGAGATAGACGGACATGATTTTTCAAGTCGAGAAGATGTTTCAAAGCTCTGCTTATTAACGGAAATTTTAACAGTGTTTGTTTTAATCTAATTGTAGGGACTAATGGATCTAGCCGCAGAAAGTTAAAGGAGTCAATAAAAAGAAAAAAAAAAGGTTTAGGGACCGGATTCAAAATTGATGAAAATTATAAGGACTTCCAAATTAGTTTTTCCAATTATGAATACAAATCAAGAAAACAGACTTGTTATTTAGATCGTTATTATTCATTCCAGGAACTTACTACTACCTCCTGTCCTTAATATAACAGTTAGTTTAACATTCAATTTTGTTTTAAATATAAGACCTCAATCCATTTTGTCTCACATATTTATTCATTTTTTTTTCAAGGTAGTCATTATAGTAATTGTATATGTAAAAATGTTCTATCAAATAGTAGTTCTACCTAATACATATGATTAGCAATGATATTTTAGGAAAGACAGCACATAATTATTACAAATAACTAACTTAACAAATTTTCTTAATCTACTTAAATGAGTCAACTAGCTCTTATATTAAGGATTGAAAAAAGTATTAAAATATTTGTACGTTAATTAATTATTTCTAAACAAGTATATAAATGCTCCATTAATATGTTAAATTAACAATTAACAGAAAAGTATACTTTTTAATTTTTTAAATTAATAATTAACTGAAAAAAGATAATCCATGAAAGTAATACGTTGCAAGTTTAAAACACAAAAAATTAAGTTTGATCATAAGAGTAAGTTGAGAGTTAAATTTGATCATAAATATAATATTTCAATTCATTTTATATCCTTGATTTAGAATTTTTTCCTCAGAATTTGATTATTGATTGTAAAGGCTCCCATAGTTCCAAAACATATGATCAAAAAATGGTAGTTTAGATGTATAAAAAACGATCATTTACAAAAAATCAACGTATATTTATTGTAAATAATAAAATTAATTAATTTTTTAATATCTTCAAATTAATTATCTAGCTCTTATATTAAAAATAAGAGGTAATAATAATTATTCTAAAAAGAAAAAATTGGTTTACTGTCCTTCCCTGCCTGACTACCTCTTAATCACTATTCACCTCTAAATTGGTTTGGCCTTTCAGTTTTCTAGAGGAAAAGCTTTTTGGGTTTTGAAATTCTCCAGGGTTGTTAGCGTTTCTTCTTTATTCACATTTCCACGCGTCTTTGGTCTTTTGGTGTAAAGCACTCCAAAAGCTCCCTCCAAGTCTCCGACTTAGATGTGTGACCCCTGCTTTTTCTTTTCTTTTTTTTTCCCTCCTCATTACAATTTCAAAACGAAAAGGTTTGTTAAATAGCTTGTTACATGGGTATTAAATAGTTTTAAAAAATTATCATATTATCTAATTTTTTTGGTAACATATTTAATTGAGAAAATTATAATGAGGTCCCCAGAAAAAAAAACTACTACTAAGTCCTAATAAAAAGTTAAAAGTTGTCATTTTCTACTCTAAAACTTGTCATTATAAACTACTTAGGTTGTTATTGAAACTTATTAATAATTATATTTCTTTCTTAGGACTTAATTGCGATCCCTCCTATTTAATTTTGAATTGGCCCAGGTTTGGTCTTTGTTTTTATGACTTTTGATACTTGAGCATGTCAGGTTCGTGATTCCATCATGTACTTGGTCATTTACTACTCAATTTTTTTATGAGGAATTCAAAGATGAACTTATATTTTTCAAAATCTCACTTCTTTTCACTCAATTCCTCAAGTCCGAGAGCCTTGTCTCTTCCCTTCAAAAATTGCATTCTGACCAATTTCCATGGTTCCTAACTAGATAAAAGTCCATATTCTTCTGGTCAAATCCTTATCTATCTGAACACTAATTTTTAAGAAAAATTGGGCTGCATTTTTTCTTAGAAACTAATATTTCTACAAGTTAGAACGCCATTATTTCAACCAATATCAGACTAAAATGTCAAAGTCTTCCTTTCTGGAAGAGTTACAGATTTGGACAGCAAGATTAAGCACCCAAAACCTTGATGAAAAAATTATATATAAAACATAAATTAAAATAAGGGAAAATTAGGATAAAATACCTACAGAAAATAATATTTATTGTGAAGGATCTCAAAAACCCTAATTACTTAGAAAGACCAAAAACTAAAATATAAATATACTAATACTAAACTACCCCTAATAAACTTATACTCCCGCATACCACATCTCAATTACATGACAATTAGTAGCTAAAAAATAGGGAAGCACTCTATTATCATCAATTTTTTTTTTTTTACTCAATCCATACATTATAAAAATTGTACAATATTTAATGTTCACTTGAATTTCATCACTAAAATCTAATAGCCTGTGTTCTAATTTTTTTTTTACAAAAGCTAAATTTTACATATTAATCTAATTTTATTTTTTCTATAACATTAAATTAGAGGGAATGTTTCAAAAGAAATTATATTAAATTAATTTAAAATTTTCATAAAATTTTTTGCATGTTGAAATCTGTTATGAAAATTAATTTTGATTTTGATTAAAATAATAAAAAATAATTAATTATTAATTATTTTGCTAATTTTATATATCTTTGTTTGTTTCTATATTTTTATTAACATTTTTGCTCATTTATTATATCTGACTATTCTTTTAGAAATTACTTAATCTAATTCTTAAAAGTAATTAAATATATAATTTTTTTATTGTAATACATTTAATGGGACGAAGACGGTTGAGAAAAAAAAAAGTAAAGATGAAGAATTTGCCCTTATCTTAGTGGCTAAAGAAAACTTTATTTTTGGTTAAAAATTTTGATTGCTTTTTGTTTTGGATAAATAAAAATAGTATAGATATTATTGGTAACTGTCATATATTTAAGGTGTGGTTAGTGAAAATATAGGTGATTTAATCAGGGGCAATTTGGTGTTTGCATATTTATATTTTTATTTATCATCCTTTTAAATAATTACAATTTTAAGATCCTTTATAATAAATATAACTTTTTTGGTCCTTCTCTCTAATTTCCCCTTAAAATAAAGCTTTTTCTTATATAATCTCCATCTACTAGCTTGTTCTTGCTTTCCTGCACTGATTTTCTACCTTGTTTCCTGCTTCAAACTACTTTCCTTAAGAAATCAAAATCAAAAGAATGTCACTCTTGAGAAGCAGAACAACTTTTATGAAGGGATTCCAATGAGATGTGATTTTCACGGAGTTTTGGATTGATTTTTCTTTTGTTTCCTTTTTTCTCTCTTAATCTTACACGAAACTTCCAAAAACATTCTGCTCTCTATTTTCGGTCGTGGCTGCATGAAAATCATGAAGACTTAAGGGTAAAGGGAGCTTTAATTTAATAAAAATACAAAAACCATTTTGTGGTACAAATTATGCTCCAAAATTAGTTTTATATTTAAGATAAGAGGAGTATTAAACTATATTTAATAGAATTGGAAATTCATTCCACTCATGAGTCTCACTAGCACTACTACAAATAAATAAAAAAACATTTAATGGCTGTTAAAATGAGCTTTTTACGGCGGTTTTGAGAGCGACGTATATGCCATCGACGTAAAATGTAGAGGATTTCACGGTAGTTTAAGAACCGTCATGGTATGTGACTTATAACTGCCGTGAAAAGTTTTTTTTTTTAGTCTACGTTTCACCCTATTGATCAGCATGGAACGGGAGAACAAAGCCTCAAAGGAAGAGGTCTAAAAATCAATTAACTAATAATCTCTCACCAGTTAAAAGCATTCTGATGGAGCAAATGTAGATTCTTTCCCGCCATAATAGCGCCACTTAGCTTCACCTTCAACCACCATATCAAAGCTACTAAAATTTAATAAAGATAAAATCAAAAACTTAGATCTGATAAAATCAAAGACTCAGATCTGATAAAAATCAGATCTCTTCAAACTCATATTAAACATGATATTTTTAACTAAAGAAAATAATCATATCAAACCACAAAAACTATGAAATCCACTGAAAGAATGGAGGTGAAAAACTCACAAATAAGAATGAAGAGGATGAGACGATGGTGACGGCGACAGCGACAGTGATGGAAAAACATGGCAGAGATGATAGAAGCAAAGGATAAACGCCGAAAAAGGTAGGAGAAGGGAGAAAATCTAGTGAGGACGGTAATGGGGGATTATGAGCTCTGACTCTGAAAAGGGAAACCTATCGCATGATAGATTTTGAAATTCTATAGACTTTTTACAGCTATTTTTTAAATAACCGTATTTAAAAGTATGCCTATAATTACAGAAATGCCATCGTCATATTTTTTATAGTGTTTTTTTCTAATAACTGCTGTAAATTAGCGATGTGAAAGCTCTTTTTTGTAGTAGTGTAGGTATGATTTAAAATATTTGCAATAAGATTACCATCAACATTTTTTCCCTTATAAGGTGAGGATAGAAGGGGGACAAGAAGTCTTGGTGGGATCAAGAAGTGAGAAAAAGGACTCGTGAACCGACAGCGTTCCCACAAGCTCAATCCTTTTTTATATTATATCAAGCACCAAAACCAGTGATCCCTTCTGAGTCATTATTTCGAGTCTTCATCAATTCATTTGATCTGAGCAAACCCACAGCTTGCACTAACTCAACAGTCCCACCATGGAATTACCGTGGAAGTACCATGTCTTCTTGAGCTTTAGGGGAGAAGACACCCGCGACAGCTTCACAGGTCACTTACATGCTGCTCTTGAACGAAGAGGTATCATAACTTTCATAGATGATGAACTTAGGAAAGGAGAAGATATCTCCCAAGAACTCTTCCAAGCCATTGAGGAATCTCTCGTCTTCATTGTTATTCTTTCCCCAAACTATGCTTCTTCTCGTTGGTGTTTGGCTGAACTCCAAAAGATTCTTGAATCCAAGCGATCTTTGGGAAGAGAAGTTGTTCCGGTATTCTTTAACATAGATCCATCTCATGTGAGACATCAAAGAGTTACCATTGGAGATGCCTTTAAAAGCCACAGGCAGAGATTTGCTGATGAGAAGGTCCAAGGATGGAGAGATGCTTTACGTGAAGTTGGCAATATATCTGGCTACGATTGCAACGACCGGTAAGTTTTTTTAATTTTCAAGTTATTTCTGATTGTTTTCCCCTTCTTGCAATGTTTTTAAAGGACAAATTCTACTTTTTTTTTTTTGATACATGTGGACAAATTCTACTTTCGAAATATAGTGTTGCAAAAATATTTCAAAAGCATTTTTTATATCTTATTGGATAAAACAGCTTTTACGGATCTCTTTAAAATATTTTTACAAATTGACCATAATAAATTTCAATTTTTTTTATCTGAATAGTCCTTCTTATTGAAATTTAAATATTTTCGAGGATAATGTTATCCACTCAAACTATTTTGAACTATCATTTATTGAATACTGTGCTGTTTAATGTGACAATGCTTATTCTTTGATACTTCCTCGATCACTTATTTATGATTGAAATAATGGGATTGCATGATTTAAGGAGAAAAAACTGTTAAAATTAGTTTAAAATAATAAATATGTGAGAAATATTTTTTTTCCAAATACGTCTTTATTTATAAGAGGGTAAATGTGAGAGAATGATAATAAAAAAAAAAAGGAAGAATTACAATCAAGTCCTAAAAAAAAGAAATAATTGTTAAAAAGTCTTAGTAACAACCTAAACAGCGTATAATGACAAGTTTCATATTATTTTTAAATCCCTATTTGCACCATTATTTTGAACAATATGCCTCAATGATAAAGTCATGATGTGGAAAGTGATTTTCACATATTTGTAATTAAAGAAACGAACAAACTAAAAAGTTTCTTTAAATCTTTAATTAAACGAGAAAGGTTGAATGGTTGATAATTAATTTTGAAATAACATAAGTTGATGATATGTTTCTATACCAAAAAGAGAAAAGGTTGCTAATATGTGGAAAATTTTATTCACATTTGTTAGCGTCGAACTCTAATGGGCTTTGGGCCCAAAACCCTAGACTTAACCCTAGGTTTAGACTTAGTTAACCTAGTTATGTAGTCTGCCGCAATTAGAGAGCTTATTTAGGGATTTAGTATATTTTGAATTTTGATTTCTGATTCTCCTACTATTTTGGCTAGGATCTCTCTAGATTCTTCTCTCTCTACCTTCTCATGTATTCAGTTTTTTTCTTATTTATTCCGCTATACCATTATGATGAGATCAATAAGAATTATTATTCACAAACCCTCATGGTATTAGAGCCATGGTCATTTTCGGCTCAATACAAGAAGCTGATGAAATGCAGCAGTGAATGACTAATCCTTTAGGGTTAGCAGCAACAACCTCGGCGCCCTTAGCAACTCAACCTGCGACAGAAGCAAGCCCTGTGTCTATTACTATTCATAGACTCAGTGGACAAAACTACATCTAGTGGGCTGCAAGTGCACGCTTGTTTATAATGGGAAAGGGAAAATTTGGCTATCTCACGGGTTCCATAAAGAAACCAGAAGTAACAAACCAGAAATATGCAACATGGGAAGCCGAAAACTCCATGGTTCAAGCATGGCTAATCAATTCAATGACTACAGAAATTAGTTGTCATTTTTCCTTCTTCCAAATGGCTCAGAAGGTGTGGGAAGCAGCAAAAGATATGTTCACTTCACTCAAAAACAAATATGCAATTCTGGAACTTGAAAGTTTTCTTCACAATTTTAAGAAGGGTAATCTTTTTGTAACCCAATATTACACTAACTTGTTTGTTAAGTGGCAACAGCTTGACATGTATGACACCTATGAGTGGAAGTGTTCCGGGGATGCTGCCCTATATGAAAAAATAAAAGAAGAAAAGAGGATTTTTAAGTTCCTCTTAGGTCTGGATGTAGCATTCGAGGATGTAAGAGGCAGAATTATGAGTCTGGAAAATCTGCCCCCTTTGAGAGAAGTGTTCTTCATGGTAAGGAGTGAAGAATTCAGAAAGAAACTCACCATAAATGAAGGCATAAACCTGGCAGAATCTCAACCTAATGCTCTCTTCTCACGTGACACCTCCAAAAAGGAGGACAAACCTAAATCAGGAAGGTGGTGTGATCACTGTAAAAAGAAAGGCCATACATGAGAGGTATGCTGGAAACTGCATGGTAAACCTAAAAAAGGAGGGAAGCAGGAGAACAAAGGTTACACTGGAACTGTTGAAAGTACTCCTGAACCAGAAACTGAATTGAATAGAGAGGAAGTTGAACTACTCAAGAGAATATTGGAGAAACACGAATTTAAAGGGAAGTCTATATCATCAGGATACATTGCTCACATAGGTAAAACAATCCTAGCTTTAAAAACTGATGTACATCGTCAGGACTTATGGATTGTAGATTCAGGAGCAACAGACCACATGACTGGTAATGCAGCCTTGTTAACTGATATAAGACCTTGTACATTGAATATTCACATAAGTGTGGCTGATGGGAAGATTGTCAAAGTAATAGGTTTTGGGATAGCATACATAAATGAAAATTTGATCCTGTATAATGTTTTCTATGCTCCTGATTTAAATTGTAGTCTCCTCTCTGTTCGAACTATAACTGAAAGCCAGAAATGTAATGTGTATTTTTCTGCTACTGTTTGTGTTTTTCAGGATCTGGAGTGGAAGGAGACGATTGGCACAGCTAAGATCCTAGAAGGTCTCTATTGCTTGGAAACCACCAAACAGAAGAACTATGCTCTATCCAGCACAAAGATCATTTCTGCTTTCACTAGTATTATGTCTAATAAAGACCTATTGTTGTGGCATTATAGGTTAGGCCATCTCAATTTCAATTATATGTTCAAACTTTTTCCTCAATTCAATAAAAGCTCCTTTCATTTGACTTGTGAAATTTGTCAATTAGCCAAACACACAAGAGCATCCTATAAAAGCAATCCTCACAAGCTATCTCAACCCTTTAACTTGATCCATAGTGATATTTGGGGGCCAGCTCGTATAACTTCTATGACAAATGCCAAGTGGTTTGTAACCTTCATAGATGATCATACAAGGGTTACCTGGGTATACCTTATGAAAGAAAAATCAGATCTTGCATCTACATTCATTTCATTTCACAAAATGGTGTCCACACAATTTCAAACCCAGATTCGAACCTTGAGGAGTGATAATGGGAGGGAATATGTGAGTAACACATTACAATCTTACCTGAAAGACCATGGGATTCTTCATCAAACTAGTTGTGTCAATACCCCACAGCAAAACAGTACCGCAGAACGCAAAAATAGACACCTACTTGACATTACCCGTGCTATTATGCTAACCCACCATGTCCCAAATCATTTTTGGGGAGAGGCAGTACTTACTGCTACCCACCTAATTAATAGAGTACCATCCAAAATCCTGGATTTCCAAACTCCCATGAGCCTACTCAGTAATTTATATCCACATGCCAACCTCACCTCCCCTATTCAACCAAAAGTCTTTGGGTGTGTATCCTATGTTCATATGTCTACCGGGAGCAAGTTTGAACCTAGAGCTATAAAATGTATCTTCCTTGGTTACTCCACCTCTCAAAAGGGATACAAGTGTTATTCTCCTACCCTTAGGAAATTTTTTGTTACCCTAGATGTAACCTTTGATGAACACCAATTCCACTACCCGAAATCTCCCATTCAGGGGGAGAATAGGAGTGAATGGGAGCTTTTAGACACTGTAAACCAACCTGTTTCAACCCACTACCAAATAGACAGCCCAGAAACCACCTCACAAAGTCCAGAAACCACCTCACACAGCCCAGAAACCATCTCACACGACCCTAAAACTGTACCAGAAATTGAACTTGACAACATACCTACCCCTATTATAGAACCTACCCTAGAAACCAGAATAGACAGCCCTGAAACTGGTCATAACAGAGAAATTAGTGAGGTAGAAGAAGAAGAAGATGACGAAGAGGATAAAGATGTGCAATCACCAAGTAATAGAGATCCTTCTAGCTCACAGCAATGCCAGGAGTCCACCCAAACTCCAGAATCTAATGACACAGGATGGCCAATCGCTTTGAGAAAGGGGGTAAGGTAATGTACTCTACATCCTATAGGTCGTTATGTCTCTTATGACCATTTATCTACTGATATGAAAGGTTTTGTGACTAAAATTGATGAGGAGAAAATTCCATCAACATTTGAAGAGGCATACAGTGATCCAAGATAGCGAGAGGCTATTAAGGAGGAGTTAGAAGCTCTATTGAAGAATCAAACGTGGACTGTAGAAAAGTTACCCACAAGAAAAAAGGCTGTTGGGTGCAAATGGGTGTTTACTATCAAGTATAATTCTGATGGTACTGTGAGCAAATTCAAAGCCTGGCTTGTAGCAAAGGGCTACTCACAAACACAAGGCATTGACTACCAAGAAACATTTGCCCCAGTAGCAAAACTAAATACAATAAGGATTTTATTATCCTTAGCTGCAAATCTCGAATGGCCTCTATACCAATTAGATGTGAAGAATGCCTTCCTAAATGGAGACCTTGAGGAGGAGGTATACATGAAAGTTCCAAAAGGAGTTGCAGAATTTGGGAGTAAAAATCTGGCATGTAAACTACACAAATCCTTATATGGGTTGAAGTAGTCTCCTAGGGCTTGGTTTGAGCGATTTACTAAGGTGGTAAAAGACTCGGGATACACTCATTGTCAGGAAGATCATACACTCTTTGCGAAGCACTCAGGAAGCAAAGTGTCTATTCTAATTGTGTATGTAGACGACATAGTGGTGACAGGAGATGATTTGGAGGAAATCAAACAACTCAAGAAAGCATTGGCAACTGCATTTGAAGTAAAAGATCTTGGCAGTCTTAGATATTTTCTAGGAATGGAGGTTGCTCGGTCAAAAGAGGGGATTTTTGTATCTCAGAGAAAATATACTCTTGACTTGCTTAAAGAAACTAGAATGCTTGGAGCAAAACCATCCTCTGCTCCTATGGATTCATCAGCCAACGTAGAGTACAAGAAGGATGGAGTACCTGTAGATGCTGAAAGGTACAAAAGGCTAGTTGGGAAACTAATTTATCTATCTCATACTAGACCTGACATAAGCTATGCTGTAGGGGTGGTTAGTCAATTTGCATCAAAA